CTGGCCATAGTGCCAGTAAACAAGCTACATCTGTGAATCCACTCAATTAGGAGCAAGCTACCCTTTTATGCAGTTGCTTTTTCTCCTGAGCATTTAGAAGTCATGACTGTTCTAGCCCTGCTCCGCTGTTCAAAAAAAGTAGACCCCCTCCAGAACGTCTGCCCGCATGGTAGCAAAAATAATTTATGAAGAAATCCTCGAGGGCGGTGAAGCGCTTTGGAGGTCTTGGGTCTAAAAGATCGCAGAAAAACTGACGCCCACCCTGAGGGATCCAGTAAAAGTCTGAACTATCTCCACACCTCGGGAACCACGCCAGCCTGTGGCTCCCAGCCCTGCCGTCTGTGGGTCCGATATTCCGTGGCCGCTTTCACGTCCCCAACTTCCGGGCGGCAGCTTGGATGCGTTCTGGGTATTTCCGTGGTTACAGCCACGGCACCGCACCGCCTACGTCGAGAACAAATCCTAAGGTATGACAGAAACTAGCGAAGTCATCTCAAAGGCCTTTTTTGGGGGTAACGGAGAGAACTCTCCGTACCCACCCGCTCCACCGAAGAGCACTCAACCGCCGCTTCCGGTCGGCTCAGAACTGGGCCAGGATCCACTATCCCGGCGTCCTCTCGGCCGGCCTTGCGGGCTGGAGCCGCTCTGGCCAGCGTCTGGCCTCTCTGTGGTGCTGGCCGTTGGGCGGAAGGAGTGGGGGCGGGTCCGCCATTCGCACTGCGGCCCCCGGCCTTGATAGTTGGTCGTTGTTTCTGCGGAGCTGCTGCGATGAACCGGGCGGGAGGGGGACAGAATGGACGCCGCGAAACTGCGTCCTGAGGTGGGGGGCAGGAGGCAGGGTCCGCCAGTGTCCGAAATCTGGAAGTTCCAGGTTCAAGATGGGGAGGGCGTGCATGGGTGGCAGACGCGTGGGACCTCAGAGCAAGGCGGGTGTGCTTGACCCTCGGGCTGGCGCTGTGGGACGGTCCGGGGGTCAGCGCGAAGCCCCGGCGCCTTCCTCAGCCTTCGTCGCGCTTTCTAGATCCCGTAGGCACCCAGCCCTCGCCTAGGCTCTGCGCCATCGGCGTTTCCCTGGCCCGGCTGCCTGGGGTCTTGCTGAAGTTGCCCATTGCCCTCCTTTCGGGCTGAGAGCTTTTACCTGCCCCGCCTCCCTGTTGGTGTGAATGCTGTAAGTGGGCCATGATCCTTTCCCTGCATGTAAAATGTTTAGTTCCTGTCTATCCAAATCTTCCTTCTTTATTTTCTTAATCTATATTAAAAATTATTTATCATACCAGCCTTAGGAAAGAACGACTTTGGGTTTTTGCTAAAAGTTGAAACAGGTGGAATTCTGATTTGTATGTTTTATTTGCTGTGGTCGTAGGAACTAAACATTTCATACGAGGCTGTAGAAAGTTAACATGCAAGTGAACAGAATTTGTGTTTCCTTTGAAATCAGCTGCATTTGATTTGGCACCTGCTTTAAGTATTGTAGCGTTAAAAAATTAAATGTATTAACTTTGGCAGCAACTACAGTTCAGTGAAGAAAACTTGTAAAGTATATTAAAGGCAGTTAACTGGATTTGGTAAATATTTGTGAGAAGTGGAAGGTGGGGTGAAGCAGAAGATGATATTTGCATTGGGAATTTGTTAGCTCTTGTTTTGGCAGAAATGTCTAAAAGATTACTAATAATGCGCATTAATATATAATTAAAGTAACTGGCTAACTGTGTTTGTCGAGTTAAGCAAAAGACTACTTAAATGTATGCTTGGAAGACTCCATAGTTGAAGGTGTTGTACACTAATGGGGATGGGGTGCCGTAGAGCTTGGCCATTGTAGAAAGTGGCTCCTTCGAGACATAGAGAGAACTATATGACCTGGGTAACTGGCTATTGTGGCAGAGAACTCATCCTAAATAATATCTTTAGTTCATAGGCTGAAGATTGCTTATCTGTTTACCCCTTGCATTAGTATAATGAAATACTAAGCATCATGAGCAGTTGAGATTTTATGCATGACAGGTTTAAAAAAAGTGTAATTTCTACTCTTAAGGAATCTGCCCAACAAAAATGAGTATGTAGAATAAAGGTTAGGGAGTTCCAGAGGCTATTATGTTTGTTGGGGGAGGAGCCAGGAAGTGGAAAAAGGTAGAAAAAGGTAAGAAAAATGGGTACACTTGGATGTCCTTGTCAGAGACAATAAATGAGAGGAAGTATACTTACCAAGCCTCTCTTCCTCATACTCTGAATCTAAGCCAGCGATGGTAAATATCTGCACCAACAGAGTAGATTAAATGTCAGAATTCTGGGTTTCAAGGACCATAATTTTACCTTTCTTAAAAATAGAACCAGTACTGTCTTCATACTGTTTTATCCACTACTGCATAACATACTACCCCAGAATTTATAGGCTTAAAACTGAACAATTGTTATGTCACTGTGTCTGCGAGCTGGTATTTAGAAGAGGGTTAGGTTAGTTGGGTGATTCTGACCCAGGGTGTCATGAAGTTGCAGTCCTGGCAGGGCTGCAGGCATCTGAAGGCTTGTTGGGGCTAAGGGATCTGCTTGCAAATTCATTCACATGAGCTTTTTGCTCCCGTCTAATTAAGCAAGCTATTTTATACTTTCCATTTATAAAATGCATTGTGCTGCCCCCTTATGTGGTTGTGTTCCTATTCATAAACAACAATACACTTATGTAAACAGTAGGTTTTCTTTTTCAGGTCACTGTAAAATTGGATAGTAATTTAAATGCTTGAAGTGATCTTTTGATGTTTCATTTTGCTCATGACTCTTCATTAGCTGCCCAGTCCTTTTAGAATCGGAACTTAGGTAAAACATAAGGTTAGTAACATTTAGATATCCTTTTTGATGATAAAAATTGATTTCATGAGTAAAAGAAGATGGATGCAATGCTGCGGCTTTAAACAGACATCATGCAATTTGCAATTAAGTGGATGATGATCTTTTAATTTTGCTTTCTCAGATAAGATTTGAAAGTAAATTTGTAATTAACTGCATACATAAGCATAGTCTCAGTGGCAACAGAGCTTTTCTGTCAGGCTCTGTGTAGTGTGTACCCAGCCTACGTTTTCCTCACACTCATCCACCCGACTGGTCTTCTTCCCCGTTAGGCTAACATACACCCACAGCTTAACAAAGCAGAGCATGGTTTCTGCAGCGACCACATCTCTCTGGCTTGGTTATTAATTCAAGCTTTCTGGGTCCCACTTCCCATCCAGCCAAGTGGATACTGGCATTTATCTTTGGTTCAGAGATGTTATGAACTTTAAAATGATATGCCTTGAACCTTTAAAAACTGACTTCCTTTTCCAGTCAAGTGTCAAATGTTTATTTTTTAAAGTAGAGATAAATGATTCTTGATTTGTGAAGTATAAATCCTGAGATTTACAGAAAGGACTCATGACCTTGGAGGTTTTTTTACATATACTACATTTTTTGTCTCTTGCTTGAAAGTACCTTGAAATCATTGTTTCCTCATCCTGGAAGAATTTGTAGACTATGACCACATCTTAGTGTTTTAGAGAACAAGTTTATTTCACATGGAGATACAGAAATCTTCTGTACAGACTTTTCATGGGTCCAATAGTATATACATATGAACAGATTATTTTATATTGCACTATAAATGTGACTTATGAGAATTGTATAAAATTTTATTGTGTGTTTTATGCTAGTACTTTTATTAATACATATTTATAATGTCAAATATTTCTACTTTTTTAAAATTACACTTTTAAAAAGCTAGCATCATAGTCTGAGTTGTTTAATTACTTCGGAGTTAACTTTGAAAATACCTTCTTTGGTTTTGTGGGCATAACAGTAAGACACTGAAAATTTTTATGAAATCAAAGAAAGGAAAAAAAAGTAATGATCACATGTAAGTCCTCCAGTGAGAGACAAGCCAAATGAACAGCTGTCCAGATTTTTTAATGAGTATGTACATATTTTTAAGAAAATTGAAATATTTCACATATTTTACAAGCTGCTTTTAAAAGTTTAGTATCGGACATCTTTCCATGTCAATAAACATGGGAATAAGTATTTCTTTAATGGCCGCATAATTGTGTGGAATGTAATTCACTAGTCCCATATTTTGGACATGTAGTTTCTAATTGTTCCTTATTATGAAGAATGCCATACTGCACATCCACGTGTAACTCTTTGTATTTATCTAACTACTTTTTTAGAATAAATACCTAGAATTGGAAATGCCAAGTCAAAAGTTTGCTCATTTTTTTAAATGATTTTATACATATTGTCAAACTGTCCACTAGAAAAATTACACCAATTTATACTTCTACTAATATGCCATAAGAATTATCATTTCCTCACCACTACTAACAAAGCTTTAGCAATCTTTTGTCAATCTTACATTGAAGTCTCATTGTTTTAATTTAAATTCAATTGATTACTAATAAAGTTGAAATCTTTTAATAATTTTTGACCATTTGCATTTCTTCCTTTTCCAAAATGCCTTTTCATAGACATTGCCTGCTTTATTATTGGGATACTTATTTCTTCTTACTAATTTTAAGATTCTTTAATAAAGTAAGGCTTCTCATCTTTCTCCACCATAAATGTTCTAAATTTCCACCATTTGTCTTTATCTCTATCATGCCAAAGTTTTACATTTTTATGTAGTCATGCCTACCAATGTTTAAAAAATAATTTTGAGCTCTTCTGTAAAAGTCTAGCTAGCTGGATTATGAAGAAGTCTGTTTATAAATTCATTTAAACAACCCAAATTTGATCACCAAACTAATTACAAAAGCTATTTAACCATGGAAATTTTCCAGGCAGCTAGTCAATGAAACTGATTCCCTTTCTTAATTTAACCAGAGAAATGTTTTCTATATATTGCAAAACCCTAGTCTATGTGACGATTTAAAATCTAAAGTTTTTTTTAACAAGTTAACTGGTTAACTGTATAAAATGGCGTTGCACAGACAGAAAGCAGATGATTTCCATCTCAGGTTTTATCTGATTATTGACTCTGCAGTAGTACCTAGCAATTAATGCCTTTTCCACCAGACTGATTACTAGTCATTTCTTGTTCTGGTCATTTCCTGTTCAGTATAGTATGTATTTGAGAGGTTTCTCTTCTGTTGCATCTAGAAGGATGAAAAAGCCCACCTGCTACATTATATGCTGAAAAGGCCAAATACTATCTTTTCCCTTGCAGTACAGTGTGGGAGTGCGATCTAGGCCCAGCCCATCAGACATGTACCCTTCGCACTCCAAATTTTGTATTGAGAACAAAGAAATACTGCCAAGAATCCTGTATGACAGCAGAGACAGCAGCACTGGCCGCACTGCCAGTGGTGATACCTGGTGATGGACTGGGCACTATAAACTGGGCTTAGTGGCAGGAAGGTCTTCAGACCAGTTGTCTAGGATCATTTTCACTGGGTGCTTGAAGCATAGTTTTGAAGCCTGATTCTTGAAACCTGGCAAGTCTGGTTTCCCAGTATCTTTTCAATAAATTTGTTTGGCTTTTATTTTGAGTTAATAATTGAGTTACTATAGGACAGAATGGAACCTACTGGCATCTACTCTTTCAAATGAAATTTAGAAACATTTTATAAAGTTCCTAAAAAAATACCTTTATGATTTTGATTAGAATTACATTAAATTAATAGATTAAGGAAAATAGCACCATCAGTTTTTTCTTACTCAAAATGGTCTGACTTTGTACCAGTTAAGTTCCATCAAAGAAGCCAAACTACTTTACATGCTAAAGAATAAGACGTTTATTACAGGGATTAAAATTGTGAGGTTGGGAGAGCAGGCTGGGCAGGCTGCTGCCTCTGAAGCTTGTTGAACCTTCAGCTGCTGCAAGTCGGCTTGACAGTTGGGCAGGGAAGCTGGATGTGTATGAGAGAGAGCTAGGACAGAACGGAACCTGCGTTGGCCTCAACTCCACTTTTGATGCTGTGGATGACCTACAGGAGAGGCTTGCACTCGACCTTGGGGTTACGCATTCAGGCCCAGGAATTGTAGAAGCTGCAGGAAGATCTGGTGGGAGCTGAAGGAGCAGTAGGCCCAGCTGCTTCCCCATGTCAGCAAAGTGGGCTAACAGCAGCAACACAGGTGAGCTCTGTGGGCACTGACCTTCAGAGAGCAAAAACTATAGCTGCTGCTCCACGTCTCCCTTCCAGGCCTCATGTACAATGTCTCCTGTAACCAACACTACCCAGAACTATTGAGTTCTGGAAAAGGTACTTCTGATTTAGCTCAGCTAACATAGTACAAAGCCACCAGAGCTCTAAAGAACTGATTGATCTTTTGCATCCTTTAATACAGTTTTAGTAGAGTTTTATAGCTTCTTCATACACATTTCCTATTTAGTTTATTCCTTGCTGTTGAATTTTATTCCTTGCTGTTGAATTTTTGTTGTTGTGAATGATCATACTCTAACTTTTTTCTTATGATTATTGCTGATATATTAAAGATTAGTGTTTATCTTGAAGAAGCCACCTTTTTCAACTTAAATTCTAAATATTTTCAATTGATTCTCTCTCTTTTGATACACACTTATTTCACTTGCAAACTAGTATAATTACCTTTTTCTTCCTGGTTAAGGTAATGATACATTTTCTGTCTCTCCTTACCTTCCTTGTCTCATTACATTGACTAAACTGCCAGAACAGAATTACAAAAACTGTATTGTTTCTGACTTCCTAGGTAATGTTTCTTGGTTTTCATCATTTTGGTTTCTGTTAAACTGATGTTTGTCAATGTTTAGTGAACATAAGAATTACCTGGTAGTCAATCTTGCTTAAAATGCAGATTCCCAGGGATGGATGTTACATTTTATCTTTATTCATTTAATATGTAGTACCTGGTGGATAACAGATACAGTGTATGATGACTATGCATTAATTCATTCAACAAATACTTAACTGAGCCCCTACCATGTGCTAAAGGTACAGTGGTGAACAAAGCAGACAAAGTCCGTGCTCTCTGAGCTTTTGTTTTCTTTCCTGAATGTTTACAGAACATAAACACTTGAAAGATAGGCAAGTCTTTTGGCTCTAAAGGTATTATTTGCACCACCATTTAAGTTTAGTTTCTTTAAGCTAGTTAGGCCACTACATTTTTCTTTTTAACAGGTTTCCAAGTTATGAATCATACTGCCTTCTGGTCAGAATTTGGCCTGAACATTTTTTTTCTTTATTAAGGTATCATTGATACACAATCTTCTGCTCAGGTTTCACATGAGCAACATTATGGTTACTACATTCCCCACTATTATCAAGTCCCCAGCACATACCCATTACAGTCACTGTCCATCAGCGTTGTAAGATGCTATAGAGTCACTTCTTGTCTTCTCTATGCTATACTTCCTTCCCCGTGCCCCACCCGTATTATGTACACTAACCGTAATACCCCTTAATCCCCTTTGGCCTGAACATTTCTACTTTTTAGATTGTATTGAAGTTTTTCTTGTGGATGAGTAAATGTTAACTTTTACAGATGTTCCATGCACATTTGGAAAGTGTGTATTGTATGTTATAAGACACAGTTTTTGAACTGTATGTGAAATCAAATTTATAAGTATATTATTCAGATTATAACTTTTCTTTTTTGGCTACTTGATTTAACTTAACTTTTACTGCTTTGCTGCTGGATGTGTCAGCAGCTTCTTACATAACTTTACTGTGACTTGAATATTTTACCCCTTTTGGTCCCACTAAATCTTTTGTTGTAAATTCTGTTTGATGTTAGTATTACCCCTGGTACTTTATTTTGTTTGTATTTTCTAAAGTTTTCTCATCTCTTCTCATTTCTGTATTGCTGAGCCTTTGAGATGTTTTCTTATGAACAATAACTTGGTGGGATATATACTTTTGCCCCAGTCTATCTCTTTACAGAGAAATGAAGTACATATATGTTTATTGTAGTATTTGTGTTTTATATGTTTGGTCCCTGTTGCTTTTTGGAGGTAGGTGGGGGTAAAGTTTTCTTCTTTCCTTTTTTTCCTCTTCTGTTTTGCTATGTTGATTAAGTTTTCTTTATTCCTCTCCCCACCCCCTCGAGTTATAAGTTCTGATCCTTAATTCTTTTTTCCCAGAAATCATAATTAGGTATTATAATATCTAAGGCACAACTCTTAAAATGCACGATTGTCATACAGGTATCATAATTTAGTTATGTTTCAAATTCTACCATCATGATCTTTTAGTTCTGTAAAGGTTGCCCCACAATATTTGACATTTGGTGTTGGTTTAATCACATTCTCTTTTGCAAAAACCATTTCTTTTTTGACTTGGAAATTCTTGGGAAATTATTTTCAATTTATTTTTTCCTTTCAGTGCACAACTTTTTGTTCTTTTTTTCCATCCAAGCTTTGGGAAAGTCTTGGAAAGTGTTCTTATTCACCAATTGTGTTTTTTTGAAGCCTCATTTACTATGCATTTCTTCTGTTGATTTTTTAATTTAGGAATTAGGCTTTTTCAGACACTCCTTTTACATGGAAGCCTGCTGTTGTTATTGACAATAAAATGTATTTGCTAGCTTTTTAAAATCTTTGTTGGAGTATAATTGACATATAATAAACTGTACATATTTAAAATGTACAATTTGATATATTTTGATGTATGTATGAAATTATGAACCATGAAACTATTGCCATCATCAAGATAATGAATATATCTGTCCCCTCAACATTTCCTTACATTCCTTTTTAATTCTTCCTGTCCCTTCTGTCCCCAGGCAACCATATCTGCTTCCATCACTGTCTTTGCATTTCCTGGAATTTTACATATAGGGAATCATACTGTGTACTCTTTTTGAAAACATACTTCTAAATGGAAATTTCAAATATATTGGAAATTTCAAGATTGTATAGTCATTACATAAATTTAACAGTTGTAACAGTTTCCTGTAATTGCTTCATTTATTTACTTTTTCTGAGTCAATAGACTTTTTAATAGCCACTCTGGGTTTACAGAAAAATTGGCAGATAGTATGGTATTCCCATATTTCCCTCTCCTGCACACTTTTCTTCCTATTACTAATATTTTGCATTAGTGTGCTACATTTATTACAATTAATGAACCAATTTTAATACATTATTATTAACTGAAGTCTATAGTTTACATTTGTACAGTTCTGTGGGTTTTGACTGTGTACCTTTTTTTATGATTTGACTTCCTAGTATTATGTTGAGGTTCACCCATGTTTTTGTATGGATCGCTTTTTCATTTCTGTTTATTCCACATTTTGTTTATCCAGTTGGGTTGTCTGTTTAGAGCAAATGTAGATAAAGCTGCTGTTATATTCATGTACAAATCATTGTGCAGATGTATGCTGTAATTTCTCTTGGGTAAATACCTAGGAGTGGAATAATGTAGTGACTAAGACATATGGTAGGAATATGTTTGACTTTGAGAAACTAAGGTGAGTGTACAGTTTTACATTCCCACCAGCAGCATATAACATTCTGGTTGATCCACATCTTGTCAACACTTGGGATGGTTAGTCTTTAATTTTAATCATTCTAATAGATATGTTTGGTATCTCATTGTGGTTTTAACTTGCATTCCCTAATAATAATATTGGGTAATTTCATGTGGTAATTGACCATCTGTATATCATCTTTGTAAAGTCCTTTTTCAAGTCTTGTGCCCATTTTTATATTGCTTTATTGTTTTTCTGTTAATTCTGTTTTGCAAATTCTTTGTTCTGGATACATGTCCTTTATCAAATATGACATGTACAAGCATTTTCTGCTAGTCTGTGGCTTGTCTTCATTCTCTTAACATTGTCTTTCAAAAAGCAGGAGTTCTTAATTTTGATGAAGTTCAGTTTATTGATTCCTAAAACAGCTTTTGATGTTGCATGTGAGAACTTTTTTGCATAATCCAAGGATACCAAAATGTTCTCCTCCAGAAATTTTTGTTTTATGTTTTACTTTTAGGTCTGTCATCCATTTTGAGTTTTTATGTATGGAGTAAGGTGTGGGTTGATGTTCATTATTTTTGCACATGGATATCCAATTGTTCAGCATGATTTGTTGAAAAGAATATCTTTTTTCTATTGACTTGCTTTTGCATGATTGTCAAAAATCATCTGACTGTGTGTGTGGATGTATTTCTGAACCCACTGTATTTTGTTCCATTGAGCTCTTTGTCTTTCTTTGTACTGATACCACACTGTCTTGATTACTGTAGCTTTGTAATAAGACTTGAAATCAGATGCTTTAAGTCCTTCAATTTACTTCCTCTTTTTCAAAGTACTTTTCTAGGTGTGTTCTATCTAGGTCTCTTGCATTTCCCTGTAAATTTTAGAATATACATAATGAGCCATGTATACTTTTTATTACAGAATGGAAGTTGAGTCATTCTCAATAAATCATTTAGTTATTCTTTAGCCTCAGATTTGAAATAACACATAACAAAAACTTTAGGTATCACACATTATTGATACCTTTAGTTGGGTAAATGAATTTAATATTCTGTGCCAGGTAAGTGCTCAACAGAGAATTATGATTGCCTTTTTATATCAGTAAAAGCTCTTTGGGTGGAGACAAGAGAAAGCAAAAAAGGATTTATTAGAAAAATGCTGGGGTAGCTCATAGAACAAGGATGAGCTGGAGAAATGAGCACAGCCCTGAGAATATTAGAGATTGGATCAGAGGACTTGATGTCCTTATGATTCTTTCTCCTAAGCTGTTCCATGTAGTGGAGCCTCTAGTATGCAAGAAGAAAAGGAACTTTCTCCACCAGCTCCACTTAGGAAAATTCTAGATACGAGTCTGATTGCTAAAGCCCAGGTCACCATCATTAGATTAATCACTGCTAATCTAATCACTACTGGAAAATGATTACTAACTAGTAATTACTAATAACTACTAGTAAGGGATACAGAGAATTCTAATTGATTAGCTCCAAAGTTTGGGTATTGTGATGAGTTTTCCCAAAGGAAAAGGATGTTAAAGAAGTATAGAAAGTAGTTGCTAGGTACACAGACACAATGGATGCCCACTAAACTATTTGATAACCTCAAAGTAATATCTTACAGTCAGTGGACTTTCTTAATGTTTATATTACAAAATATATTTAATATCTGCAATTGTATAATATATAATATATATATATATTATATATATTTGGCTTTCCCTTGCTATGTACTACCATCTAAACTGTTATTCCTACAAAGCTAATCTATTCTCTTTGGGCCACATAGCATGTTATATATAACATGTAAGATATACCATTTTTAATACTTGTAAGTTGCTAAGATCTTAAATGTTCTTACCACACACACAAAAAGGTAACTGTGTGAAGTGATGAATGTTTTAACTAACCTTATTGCAGTAATAATTTCATAATATATATGTATGCCAAGTCATCACATTATATACTGTAAATTTACACAGTGTTATATATCAGTTATATCAGTAAAGCCAGGAATAATAAAAATAAGATGAAATTATTGACAACAGCTTAAAAATAAATACCAGTTTTCACAATTGTTTTATATTTGTGAAATTATTGCCGATATTGTCTTGTTTAAATATTATATGGCAGCTTATAATCTCCATTAATATTTTCCTCTTCTTTCTATTTTAGGGTAACTGGGAATATAAACAAGAATAAGCTGTTTTCTGATGGCTTTTAGTATACACTGACATATGGCCTGTGATGGCATCTGAGACTGAGAAGACCCATGCTCTACTCCAGTCTTGTAGCACTGACTCTCTTATTGCCAGCCTTGGTCTGGGGCTATTTGCCCTAGTAGCTGACAGAATTCTTCAGTTTTCCATAATTCAGCAAAATGACTGGCTTCGAGCCCTCTCAGATAATGCTGTACATTGCGCAATCGGCATGTGGTCATGGGCAATAGTCATTGGAATCAAAAAGAAGACTGACTTTGGAGAAATCATCTTAGCTGGATTTTTAGCCTCTGTTATTGATGTAGACCACTTTTTTCTAGCTGGATCCCTGTCTTTAAAGGTAAGAAGCATATATGTTTAATTTTGCTGGTCTTTAATTTCTTCAGCACTGTTATATTGATCTTCAGCATCCTTTTAGTTTGAGAAGATTAGCCTTATTTTAAAATAAGAAAGCCCATTCATCCCACTTTTTTGAGCATTGAGTACTTCCTTGAATGTACACACAGACATGTTGCTAATCAAGTTATTTGGCATCACAGAATGCCAAGGTCTCACTAATTGTACCTGTGAAGTTCTGTATTGGCTTTACCGAGGATGTATTTAGCCAAGCCTTGAAGGAAAGGGTAGACAACTGGTTTAAAGCAACAGGAGGTCATCCTTGGGCTTTCCTAGTTCTTTTTGTATCAGTGTTCCTTCCTCAGGACCACACTTAAATTTGTCCCCTCATTCTTAACTTTTTACCTTTTAATATGTAGCTCCTAACAGTTGAATAGCTTTAAGGTGATTCCCAGTCCTGGGGAATGTGTCCTTAATGGGCCTCATTCCCTGAGACCCTCTTGAGGCCAAAAGTATGCATTGCAATGGGCTGATTAGGACATAGTCCCTGGTGGAGAAATGGAGGAATTTCACTGAGGCTTTAGGGATTTAGCTATACAGCTACCTATCAAATGAGCTGATCCTAAAATGGCAATTCAGTTAATATTTTCTAAGGGTCAGAAGGTTTGCCTACTTTTTACATGTTTCTGGTCTGAAACATTTCAGGAACGTAATACAAACTCATAGAGCAAGGCCTTAGCATCACCACTGGCCTAGAACACTGCCTGGCTCACGTAGTAGTGTGTTCAGTAGTATTTGTTGAAAGGAGAAATGATCAGTTCTTTTTCCAATTATGTGTCAAGGACTGTACCAAGTATTTTTCAGAGGTTGTTTCACTTATTTAGAAACTTAATCAGTAAGGAATCAGTAGTTCCTGGCTAAAGACAAATTTTAACTTTTTTGCTGTAAGTGGAAGCAGCATAACATTGATATTAGTTGAAATCAGAAGACCTGGGTTTGAACCCTAGTATGTGGTGTTAGCAAAGCACTTTTAAACTTTTTTAAGGCTTAATTTCTGTTAAATGTGGACTCTTAACGATACCCCATAAGGTTCTTGTGAGGACTAAATGAGCATGTTAAGTGGCATACCCTGGCAAATAGTTAATAATAAATGTTAGTAGAGGCTGGGATAAGCTCTGAAACATAGAAAGTGTGGGTCACGAATGCATTCACCTAGAACTTAACTCTCCTGTTGTAATTTTTTAAAACATTTAGGCCCTATACTGTAGTTATTCTTTGATTCATTTAGAAACAGTAGTGTTAAGAATATGAGCCACAGAGTCAGACAGACCCAGTATCAAATCTCAGCTCTGCCACTTAGTAACCACACAACATGGGGAGCTACTTAGCCTCCCTAAGTCCGAGTTTCCTCCTCAGTAAAATAATCCCTAACTCAGGATTGTTATTGGGAGCAAATGAGATAGTGCACATAAAGTATACCATAGTGCTGGTATTGATTCTTCTTTTTTGAATGAAGTATTAACATTTGTTCACATTCACCATAAGATTGTATGTGATCATCAGTAATAAATGTCAAGACTGAGTATTTGTGATAGTTATTTTCAAGTATCGATTTTTACTTCTACTTTTAAGCAATCTAGTCTGTAATTTTATAATGCCCTTTTCTACCTTCATTATTCACTATTTTTCTGTGAATGAAAAATAATGCACTGATGATTTAGGAATCAGCCAACCAACAGAAATTCCTTATTTCTTCTTTAGTTCTATGAATGTAAACAAACTTCACAAATAAAAATGTGAAGAGTTAAATATCCCTGCAAAGATATCCAGCACAAAACTGCTAATCATCTCTCAGCTTCAGGGTATTGCTTTCTTTCAAGTAATGATTCCCGTAGACTCTCTGATGCCACTGTGATATTGAGAGCATGGATTATTGTGTGGGTATAGAACTTAAAAGCGAAGGTAGAAACAAGGGGTATAGTAATACAGAAATGTTTTGTGTTCTGACAGAGTAGAAATAAAACAGCTAAAATGTGGCGGAGAAGGAAGAGGGAAGAGAAATGTAGAAAAACTCTTTGGTGTTCAGTCAGTAGGGGAGTTAAAGAACATAGGTTTAAGGAATCGGTTTATAAGATTCCCCATGTAAGGGTGATGTGACTTGACAGTGTGGCAAGGTAGAGTCTCTTTAATGGATGCCTTTTTTTTTTGTGGTGGGAAGGTTGTATCCTTATTTTTTACTATAGATAACTAAATTTTTTTCTTTCCTACTTCTTTTGCTCTTTACTGTCTAGTCTCCAAAAGGTACCTTTCTCCCTTCCTTTTTGCCATCTTCTTCCCCAGAAACAATGCCTTTCACAACCTTGAGACATGCACACTAATTCCTTTCTCTTTGGTCATTGCTTTGATGGACCAGGACCCTTTTCAGCATTTCACACTTAGGTTAAACTTTCTCTTCCTAGAGTTAATTTTAGATCAATCTTAGATTTCCCTTACTTTTTCCTGGCTTTGGATGGGAGTACGAGATAAGGCTCACTGATTTGATGTTTATTTTAATACTTAGGAAGTTGGGCATTCTGACTTTTATCTATGCAAAGTGGGGTTTGGTATAGTTTTATTTTCCTTGCTCTGTAATGTTTTTGAGGATTTGTGGGGAGAGTTGGCTTTAGGCAATCTTCACACTATCCTCAGCTTTCTTTTTATTAGAAATTATCTTGTTGCAAATTAGTCTTTATAGTGAGAGCAAAACCTTACTCATGGATCAAGTAGGGATTAAGCCTGAAATTTTCATTTATTTAGATGTTGGTTACATATTTTGCAATGGTTTAGAAATTTTACTGAAGCTTATTTAACTCAACTTTAGAATACTTATTTAAAATGAGATAATTTTCGTAAATGTTGTTAATAAGTTCTGAAAGTACTCAATGTCCTATAAAATGGTTACAACAAAAATATTCACCTTTTATGCCTTTATTAATTTTATTCAGTTGTGAGATTTTTTCAGCACTCTTAGAGGCCCCAGCCAGTTCTTTAAAACTCCAGATTTACACAAACCATACATTTAGGATATAAATTACATTTGTATTGTGACTTTTGTAAGCAGATAATAAGAAACTTTAAAAAATACAATCACCATGTTCTGGATATATCGATTTCATTTTTAATACAAAGAATATCCTGTTCACACTTTTATCTTCTTTGCCTTATACATAATAGATTTAATACATGCATTCAGAGATGGGTTTCCAGCAGAATCCTGGAAAATACTGTAGAATACTAAGAAGCATCTATAGAATTTTGTTTGCTAGGAAAGGAACGATACTAGCTATTGCTTTCCCCCCACAGTCCGCTTTGACTCTTCCCCGAAGACCTTTCCTTCACTGTTCTACTGTGATACCTGTTGTGGTTCTGACCCTGAGGTTTACTATGCACCTCTTCAAGCTCAAAGATTCCTGGTGCTTTCTTCCCTGGATGTTATTTATATCCTGGAGCTCACACCATATCCGAGATGGAATTCGTCACGGTTTGTGGATATGCCCATTTGGAAAAACTTCTCCTTTGCCATTCTGGCTTTATGTAATAATCACATCATCTTTACCTCACATCTGTTCATTCATTATGTATTTAACAGGGACCAGACAAATGATGTCTTCAAAACATGGAATTCGTATTGATGTCTGAGGTAGCCATATGACAATCATAAAGAAGCAAATGGTTCAGACAATTAAGTAGCCAACATTAAAGTGAATTTTTAAAAATGTATTAATTAGGTATGTACACTAATTATAATTCTGAATCCTCTTGCTCAGGAAGCATGTACAAGTTTTTAAAAACTTTGTTGTAATTCGACTTTTCTATAGCACTCGAAGTGCAATATTATAGTTCTGTTTATTTCATGATATATTTTCATTGTTTATCTGACTTTACTAATAGCTTTATTAGATTAATATCCAATTAAGTTTTCTGGTAATATACCATTAACTTAGTTCATTTCCTGATGAAAAACAGTTCAAATTTTTGGGTGACTAATTTATAGTAAGTTAGCATTATATTTGGATCCACATTTTTCTGAGATACAGAAACAGTGAAACCGCCAAAATAAATGAGATCATGAATAAGATGTGTAGTGAACACTAACATTTCTTTGTTTGTAAATGTTGATCTTGACTGAAGTTTAATTTGCCAAGTGTTTAGTGAGTTGTGAATACTGGCAAATCCTGCCCAGTGCCATGTGAGAAGCCATTAAAATATTTTAAAAAGATGATAATGAACATTAGATCTAGGTCACTGTTTCTTAACATCTGCCTGATGTTAAGAAATAAAACATATTTTTTCAAAATGAAGTTTTAGGAAATTTGCTTTTTCCTTTGTTCCTTTAGGTTTACCCTCTGTTAAAAATTATTAACCTTTATTAGCAAAAGAAAATTTAGTTGCAGTAAATTTTACATTTGCACAATTTAATGTTACATTGATATAAAAGTCAGTGTCCCAAAGGCACCTGCATTTTTGTATAACATACCTACCATTTGCTGTCTTCAGATTTTCTTACGTGTTTGTGATCTGTAATGCTACTGATTGTGTGCCTTATTCTCTGAGAAATGATGAAGCAATGCCTTATCCAAAGCAGATTTTTCTCACTTATTAAGTTAAAGAATTCTGTAAATTGTTACAAAGGTTCAAGCTCTTTAATTTTTCTTTTTTTTGTTAACAAATTGGCTGTAATCTATTATATTTTAAAATCTATTATATCTTAATCTGTTGTTATCTTTCAAGAGCAATTATTGTATCAGGTTGGTTGGTTTAACAGTAAATATTGTAAAGGGGGTAAATTTAATTAAGGTAAAGATTTTTAAAAAGCAAATGATTTCAGAAATCCATGGAAATAAAGCATATATCTTATATAATTTTTCTGATTAAATTATAAAACTGCTGTTTCACTAAAATATAGGGCCTTATTTATTTAAGAATGTCATGTTGGCATTTTGGGGTTGTCCTAACTTGGTTCAAACAGGAATTCACTTTGACCATGACACCTTGCTTAAACAATTACTGACTTTCAAGTGTGGGTTTCTTTGGTCCTACCTCTACCATCAGAAATGTTCCTTGTCCTCTAAATGGCCTCTGAAAACTGTTGTTATAACTTCTAGAAATATAGCAACCAGCTTCCCATGCCACCATTTTGTTCCTTTTTGTAGTGAAAAAGTCTGTCGTTACAACATATTGAAAGTTGGATTGGGTCTTGTTAGCATGTGTGTGTTTTCTCCATCCCCTAGGTGTCCTTCATTCACTTAGTGTTTCTGTCTTGGCTGTTCCACTGATTTGATCTCCTCATGTACTGTTTTCTGCAGGTCGTGTTAGTTATGCTGACTACTCAGGAGAACTTCCACCACTGGCCTATTTCATCCCCAAGTCTGGTTTTTTTTAGTGGTGGGCTAAGAACCCCTGTTGTGTTTGGGTTAAAACTCCATTTATGCTTCTTTCTCTAACTTAGACCTTTCTTCTCCTAGGCAGCCCCCTCCCTCCATGTTCTGGAGATGTTCATTTCATTTTTAATGCAAAGAATATCCTGTTCACACTTTTATCTTCTTTGCCTTATACATAATAAATTTAATACATGCATTCAGAGATGGTTTCCAGAAGACTCCTGGCAGGTCTCCCTGCCACCCCAAATTAGGCAGATACTTCTTGGTTTCTTTTTCTTTTGGCTGGTCAAATAATCACTTTGTTTTTCCCATTTTCCCAACTGAAGAGGAGAAGAATAGGGACTATTCTTGTCCTTGTTCACCACTGTCACAGTTAAACCTTATACCCATCATAGTACTGTTTCCTTCGTTTGACTCATAATATTACTCACTTGCCACCCCACGCAGCCTCACACACTGCTAAGACTGGCTTTCACCTTCTTTGATGGTGTGAACACCTACATCCCTTTGTCCTTTTATTCCAACCCTTGATGTTACCCTCAGTCATCTGCCAGAAGTCTGGACTTTCCTGTTCTCCTCTTCCACACCACTGACCCTCAGGCCTCCTCGTCACATCACCTACCTGTACAGCAGGCCTCTGTTTCTCCTCTTTAAGTGGTACTGCTTATCTCTGAGGTCTCAGACTTCGTTTCCTTTTTCTAGACCAGTGCTTCTCAAATTCCAGCATATGTCAGAATTGCCTGTGAGGTTTGTTAAAACAGGGACTGCGTAAGTCCCAGAGTTATGACTCGATAGGTCCAGCAAGTACCCAATTGTTATTACTGCTGTTCAGGAGCCACACTGTTAAGAATCACTGCTCTAGGCCCACCCTGTTTCTTTAACTTCCCTTTCCTCCCCTCCCTTCTCTTCACTGAGCCACCTCTTTGCCTTATCAGTATCTTTAATTTTTCCTAATCTTCCTTTGTCATCAGGTCCATCAGCCCTCTGCTAGTATATTTAACTCTATCCTTGCCCTACCTATGCAGTGCTGTTAGTGTTTATTTCAACCCCTAATGCCCTGATTTCTGGTGTACTATCCAAATAGCCAATCCAGAACAATACTTATAGTCTGCTTTCCCAGTTCTACTTTAAGCCACATGTCTATAAAGTAGTTATAGAACCCTGCTAACTTGGCCTACTATAGTTCATACTGTCTAACTTCAACTGGGTACTTAATAACACTTTGCTCACTACTGAACAATTTTTTCCCATATATTGTACCAGAGAAGCTAAACCTCAGAATGTCTGCCCCTGTGAGGTCCAGCCCCAAGCCAGGAGGCTCATGGCATTCTGCTGATCTGAGCAACTCCGGTTTATGACCAATCCCCACAGTTACTTGTACTTTGCATAAATCCAAGGCATTTCTTTTTTTCCCAAGAATAATTATAATAATTAAAGGGTTTCTAAAGCACCTTACCCTTTGACTGACCTTGTAAGGCATATAATGGCTTACATACCCAGCAGCATTAATTAATGTTGTTTCAAGGTCTGGGAAGCATTCCAATCCCATCCACCCCATAATTACATGAGCAGGAGGGGAATGTCAGATTAGAGCTCTAACACTGGTTCTCCTCAGACATCTGTGTGACCTTTCAAAGAAAGCACCATTTAAATGCACACATCCTTTCTCATTCAATTTTCATTTGAGCACCACCCAGTTTCTCAGGTCAGCTATATTGATACCATGCACATACAGTGGAAGGCAGAGAGAAAACTGGCCCTAAATATCTAAGTGATGCTAAATAAAATATAAATGGTGAGATAATTATTGCATAACATGCTGCGTGCAAGTGTAACATAGCTAAATGACAGTGGTCACATCTCACTACTCTTAGGTATTTTATGCAATCACAGGGAGTGGTTGGAGCTTTTCAAAGTATTCATAAGAGACCCTGCTGTAAGGACCTCATTGTATGCTGCAGAGGCCCTGCTCTTCTTGGAGAACTGTGGGTAAATACAACCCTTCCCTCTTCCTGGACCTCCACTGCTCTTTTCCCAGAGTGGAACAATAGTCTCTCAGTGTTAGGCCTAGTTCCTTGGCCGTCAGACACTGATGTTGCTCTAGATTCTAAATGGAATTGGCACAGGGCTGCTGTTGGTCTCTCTGACCTCACAAAGGGTGGTGTGGGCCCCAGGCCAGTCCTTCTAGAAAGAGCTCATTATGCCATTTCTAGGGTGTGAGACACAGAGCAAATCACTCTGCAAGCCCCCTGCTTCCATCTCAACATGTCCATCTGTGGATAAAATGAAGGTTCCTGTGGCCAGGATTCTCACTTGGCCCTGGTTGGCTAGCTCACTACACATGTGTGAGCAATACATTCTATCTGACTCTATATAAAGAGCCCTGCCCAGTGCTCTGAGTAACACGATGGCACAGCTGCAAGGCTGCAGGGGAGCAGAGCAGAGGCTGGACTTGTGGCAGTGCCAAGGACATAGGCCCAGAGGATGGCTGTGTGGGTAGAGAGGCCCAGAGGCAGAGACTGGCTTGCTGCATGCAGACTTGCTCTGAGTGGACAGGATTTAGTGATCGACCTGCCACCTGGAAATAAAGTTGTGTATAACCCTTTCACCCCAAGAACATTTTACTGCCGCTTCTTTGGTCACACTGAATCCATAGTGAACTTGCCCGGGGCTGAAATCCATTGGCAAGACACCATCCAAGTAAGATGGGATTAAAATACACTTCAGGGGGTCTTTGAAATAGGAAAAATACTGCAGAAGACTGAGAAGAAAGTATGGAGGAGAGGAACCTGTCTGCTTGGCCTCCTAGGGGCTATTGGATGTGTGTGTGCCTCTGTTACTCTCCTTTTGCTGCTATAACAAAATACCATAAATTCAGTGGGTTAAAACAAGACAGTTGTATTATCTTAGAGTTCTGTATGTCAGAAATGCAACCCAGGTCTCCCTTTGGGTTGAACCATGGCCTCAGCAGAGATGTGATCCATCTGGAGGCTCTGGGAGAGAAGCTGGTTCACTGCTGCTGTCAACTTCTGGGTGCTGCCTGCACTCCTGGGCTAGTGGCCCCCTCACTCCATCTGCAAAGCTAACAATGGCAGGTCAGTTGCATGTTGCATCTTTCTGATCCTCTTTCAGTATTCACTGCAGCTAGGGAAGGTTCTCTGATTTAAGGACCCTGTGATTACATTGGGCCCACCTGGATAATCCAGGATTAACTCATCTCAAGGTTCTTAATCGCGTTTGCAAAGGTAACATTCACAGCTTGCAGGGATTAGGATGTAGAGCTCTTTGGGGGCCATTATAATGCTTACCCTTAGATATTTTTAATTATTGTTTTGTTGGAGGAGATCTGTTTTTTAATATGAGCTGGCTAGCCACCCCTCACATACCTGAGACTGCTCTCTTGAATTCTGTGCATTGGGCCAGAATCTAGCCCTGGTGTCTTTGAACAGGTCATTCATCCTTTTTGAGCCAATGAGGAATAGGCCAGATGCTTGCCAAGACTCCCTTCCTGTTGTAACTCCTGTAATCCTTTCCCAGTAATGGGGCTCCTCAAATTCTGGAGAATTTAGTTTTACCCCAGGGAGACCTGGGTTGGGTTTCTAACATACAACTGTATGATAATACAATTGTCTTGTTTTAAACCACTGAATTTACAGTATTTTGTTACAGCAGCAAAAGTAACAGAGGACACAGTCTTGCCAATGGGTTTCAGCCCTGGGCAAGTTCACTGTGGATTCAATGAGACCAAAGAATGACAATGGAACGTTCTTGGGGTGGAAGAGTTTATACCCAACTTTATTCCCACAGTGGCAGGTCAGTCACTAGAATCCTGTCCACTCAGAGAGAGTCTGCATGCAGCAAGCCAGTCTCTGCCTTTGGGCCTCCCTACCCCTGCAGCTGTCACAGTCTCTGTCTTCAGCGCTGCCACCACACTCCAGCCTCTGCTTTCCTGCAGTCGTGCAGCCTTGCAGCTGTGCCACTGTGTCACCCAGAGCACTAGGCGGAGCTCTTCATAGAGAGTCGATAACATGTTGTCCACACGTGTGGTGAGCTAGCCAACCAGGGCCAGGTGAGAATCCTGGCCACAGGAACCTTCACTTTATCCACACTCCACCCCTCCAGGATTCTTGACTCCTCAGTCTTCTGTAATGATCCCTGTTCGAGGAAGGTGGAACATTGTAACCAAATTCCATAATAATTTAATACAATATATAAATAACAAAAATTATGACAAATTATAATAACCCTCAAGCCTGAGGAGATCCATTGTCACCAAATGGTCATCCTGGCTGTGTTCAAATCAGTTCTACTCAAGTGAGTTATCCGAAAGGACCATGGGTGGGCCTTACAATACCCACCTTCTTCAGCGTTTCCAGCAGAAAGTCTTGCTTATCTTGTTGCTTTGTCTCTGGCTTTTGCTTCGTCCTCAACTGCCAGAACCACTGCTACAATTTCAATTGTTGCCACAGCTCCAGTAAGATTCTATTTGACTTTCCATCCAATTTCTGTCTGCACCTGCC